GTGACGTAGTATGTAAACTAATCAGACGCTTAAATGATTGAACGTGTTCGTATAACACGGCCTAACCATTACCTGTATTATTCTATATTTCATAATGTTGATTTCTTCAGACCAATTCGAACGTCAAACTATTAGTTGTCTGAGATCAAATACACGTCACAATGCCGTTCTTAAAGAACGATAAGGCAGCAAAGCACCAATTGATTCCCGCCCTGAAATTGTCTCCGAAAAGGATGAAAATACCCCGTTATGTGATTACAGCGGTGAGTGTTATTTACCCAAACCAAACTACAACATTAGTTCTACAAAAGCTGTCAGCACCGTGACTGACATTTCGCATTTCTCGACTATAAGAAAACGTCGATCGACAAATCTTGTCGGTTTAACGACATGCCTGTAGCACAATCATGGTTGGCCGTTTCAGTTCTAGCTTCAATTTATCGCGGTAGTTTGCTGTCGCGTGATGAATTTTATTTGACCGACGGCGGTTTATAGCGCATTTTCCAATAACTCATTAAAAATAAAACGCACTACGTTTGCTTGACACGAAGCATCTTTTTTACGACAGGGTCAACAAACTGTCTTTCTGTCCGTCACTTATTAACGTAATAAAGGTGAACAAACTTTGAAAATCGAACACACAACGCGTTGTGCGTGCATATAACAACGCAAACGTCAATCGGCATACGTCAAGTTACCAACCGTTTTCACATATAATAGTTAATATTCGTCTGGAACTTGAAGAAGTGGTAATTCATCATTCATGACCTCCTTTCGAAACTAGAACGGATTTGCCAAAAATGCTGATATATTCATGATTATAATTTAGTATAATCTATGCCTGTCCTTATTGTGTACTTACCTCTTAAAACGGAACCGAGTGCGAAAATCAGAAAAATTCCCAATATTACACCAATAAGATGCCCAGCGCTTATCCCACTGAAGAAACCTTGAATTTGAGAAAACTCGTCATTTTTGGGTACTTGTGTATTTTTTTCTGCTCCCATGATTTCTTGATTATATTAGCGACGGTGATCTGCATGTAATGTATGAATGATAACATTCAGTTGGTGGCACTGCGCTTGAGGAGATCTCGCGAGAACCTTGACGAGGCGAGAACACCGACTTTTTCGTAGTGGACAAAATACAAATGTTAACAGAAGTGGACATACAGTTTTAGCGACCCGAAGAGCTCACTGTCAATGGGCTCTGAATTAACCCTGAAACAGAAATTGTGGCACACAACCATGACAATCTGCCAGGTCACGCTCGCAGGTCTTAAAACTCAGAACCAATATATACCTACTAGTATATAGTGGACCGTTCCGGCAACTATCTGCTTAACAAAGCGTCAACGATTATCAAGTTTAACCTTTACTACTGTAGATTGCTTAATTTTTGCATGGAATTTATTTTTTGATATTTTCAGTGAAAACAAACTTTAGCGAATATATGTATAGAGAGAGAGAGAGAGAGAGAGAGAGAGAGAGAGACACAAGAGAGAGAGAGAGAGAGAGAGAGAGAGAGAGAGAGAGAGAGAGAGAGAGAGAGAGAGAGAGAGAGAGAGGAGAGAGAGAGAGAGAGAGAGAGAGAGAGAGAGAGAGAGACACTGTTTAATTTCAAACAAATGTAAGTAGACGCAGTTGGCGTAGTGTGGCAGTGATTCTGTGTTCTTTGTACGCTGAAATGAGTGAGAGATATTAGTCATTGACGCTGCGTCCTCGCTACACCCATGTGCATGCGGGAATAATTCAACTTCTGTAAGCGGAATAGCTAAACAGACTGTGACGTCACAACGATATTAGTGCCTTGACAGTGTGACGCTTTACGTCACGTGATGTGTTGTGTTCATGACATTTTTAATATACAATTCTTCTTTTCATTTTTCCAATAACACCAATCACACGCACACAGTCAAGACATATTTTTATTTAATTTGAGATCCCTAAAAATCAACAAACATGAACCTCGAGCATCAAAACTATGAATAATATTTATGCTGAACTTTGACCTTTTCGACACGTCGTCGTCTGCAGTTGTGTTGTATAGAATAGATCTGCTTGAAAAGTTACACATTTTAGCATGGAGTGCTTAACCAAAGACTCGCTTTTAAAGGTCAGTTACAATTATAAAGTCAGCGTACGTGGGTTGCAGTGGAAAATAATCGAAAGAAATGTTTCCGAACTCGTGGATGTATAGGCGTGCTTCCAACTGTCGGCCGTGCAAACCGGGCTATTGTCTATATTATGGGGACATATGGGTGCGAGTACATCATATTCACAACTACCCCATGACAATTAAAACGAATGACCAAGTATTATTCCAGTTAGAACAACAAATCCTACTAACTAGGGCTAATAAATGTTCACGTTCAATGCACTTAGCCACATAGTGACTGCACAAGCTGCTAAACAAGACGAAGGATTGTAAACACAAGAGTTAGACAGATTGCTAGCATCACACGTTTGCTTAAAGGGCGGCAGTCGTCGTGCCGCGTCCTGTTCGATATGGGACACATAGCGACGTATACAACGCGTGTAAAATACAATTGTTTATTTACATAAAATTCGAACAGGCGCTGCGCGACGACCACCGCGCTTTAAGTGACCCTGTCGCTGTAACTGTGTATGTGGTAGGCTCACAATTTGGTAACATAGAAACCTTTTTTTTAGAGAGAAGAAGAGCTCTGCTAAAAGCCGGGTACGCATGTCGAGGCAAATCAGTATAAATAGCAGTGGCGGCTGAACGAGTTGGGGTGGGTCCGCCCCCTCGAAAAAAATCAAACTGAAACTCTTTGTGTCAGCATTTGCCCCCTCAAAATGTAGGAAATATCGTTTCAGAGGGTCTAGATTTTCAAATTGTTGAAGGGAGCGTGCCCCGGACCCCCTAGCGCCTTCAGCGCAAGGTTGGTGAGCCACCTCAGAACAGGTAAAATAAAAATATATATAACTATATGTCGTTATTGGTCATAATTCAAGGTTTTTGTGGGGATAAATTACTTGTTACCACTATGAGCGAGATTTATCATGTTTTACAGCCATTTTGCAATTGAATTAACTGTGCATAGAGAAAGGCCAAATAGTACAAAACATATAATACATTCAGAGCAGTATTAAGGCAAAGTTTGCAGACTAGTATAGAGAGAGCAGAACGACACGTAAAATAATAGGAAGGTAACCAATATATTCAAGACTTGAGTGACGTATATTGTGGATCTAATTTTACATAACACAAATTCAATTGCTCCCGGGGGGGGGGGGGGATTGGCACAAGTGGGCACAGTCCGATCTAGATGGAACATTTCAAAGTCAGTCGTCCGCAGACCATTGTCGAAGCAGCAAACAGATGAAATAATTTCAGCGATTTCTTTACAGAATAATCCTCATCAAAATTTCACATAGAAAAACACAGGCTCTAAAATTATGTATATTGCAAAACAATTCAACCAACAAGCAGTTTGACGCCACAATTTCTTGCTGGAGCTTTTAATAATGTTGCATTTCAAATTGCGCATGCACACACAAAGTGTGTTTCTCGAAATGCATACTAATTAGCTAACTTGTCACTGATAAAAGTCACTGAAAGCATTTTGAGCAATTTTGAGCAATAGTACTAGAGCGAAAACCAATGTGCATCTGCATTCTCCATGAATTTCGTAACTTGCTATGATCACGGTAAAGTCACTGGAGTCTGATCAAAAATGTGTCTCAAAAAACACTTTAAAGGGTAAATTGCGAAAGTTATCCATTGTAAAAGAAGAGGTTGAAAGTTAATTGAATTGTAAAGTAATGAAGAGAGTATTGAAGATTGATGCGAATGTGTACTGTGCAAATTCATAATAACCTTTAAATATAACTTTCTGATCCAACTGGGGAAAACAAAACTGAGCAAAATTGTGGTTCTCACTATGTACTATGTATTTTCATTTCCTGTAAGGTAGGATGCAGACATTCTGTGCAAGACCGCAGAATTACAGCATTCTGTAACTTACGGGAATACTGTAGAATACTTTATTTTCGTTTGGAATTTATTTTCACTATTTTTGCTGAAGGGATGATTCCGTGAAAATAAAATCCAGCGAATATACTTTTTTTCCTATATTTCACATTAAACGCATCAAAAATCAGTGAAAATAAATTCCATACAAAATGCCATAAAAGTCTTTTCATCGAAAATTTATTCCAGCGAAAATAAAGTATTCCACAGTACTATGACAGATCTATAATAGTATGGGGGTTGTTACAAGAATACCTCAAAGTATGCACGAAGACAGTACAGCTGAAGTATCGACCAACGCGCAGCGGAGTTTGATGCATGGCATACTGTCTGAGGATACATCATGGGAATGCCAAAATTCAAGAAGTTTAAAACAGAGTCAGCAAACTGCTTTGTGTGGAGTCCGATCAAACCCTGATGGCAGCCATGTTTTTTTTTATTATTAGAAGATGCTTATGCGCGTAATCATTCCATATTTGGAATTCGCATTTCCTTATATAGTAGAATGAAAATACCCCGTAAACGCTGTAACTTATGGCGTTGCGGTGACCTATTTCTGTTCACTGCGAGATCCAGTGTTATGCATGAAATTGAATGTAAAAACAGGACAAATAAAGGTTGGTGTGGCATCAAATCATCGAATGGGATTCGACAAACACAAAAATATTTTACTGTATATAATTCCATGCTCAATAATGTGCTATGATGATGGTCAATTTTGCTGGCGTAAGCGTATCTCAATGTCATATATTTCTCTCTGAATCTGAATTTCAACATAGAACTATAAAAAAAGAAATTTAATTGTCAAATCTATTCATTTGATTTTTGCTGCAGACATTCGGTCTGTGTCTTTCCTGAGATCTTGCAGTCACGGAAAATTGCACAAGGATCAAATTAATTTTTCTCTTCATCCAACATGTACTATACAAAAATGAATTTGGGCTTATGAGAATGAATCACAAAATACGGTAATAGTGAGTTTATTACCCATGCCATCTAAAATAATTATATTGTGTACATTGGATATCTAATCAGTGTCTGCATGGCTAAAATAATTTGCCATAAAATCAAATAATCGTTTACATACTAACAAACAGTGCAACTTGGTGTTGTACACTCTTTGGTATTTCCAGTTTTATAGCAAGCCGTCTTTCCAAATAATTATAATTGGGTATTTTGTATTTCAGTTTATGCAATGGTTTGTGGCATTTCGCAAACCAATCGACATTTGGAGCAACCATTCGTCATATTTGATAATAGAAATAGTGACATATTTCTTTGCTGTTCTTACATTCCGACATGGTTAGTATAACATTATTTATCAGGTAAATACTGTGCAGACCTTTAAAGTGTTACAAACATAGTCAAGTGTGTTACAGACACTTCTATAACTTTTCTGCACATGCATTTACATCAAATTTAACATTTTTCCTCATTTACAAATCATGCTTGGTGATACAAAATTCCACTATATTATTGTTCGCACAGTGAGGAAAATCTATGGAATATACTGTAAAACATGTTGATAAAGCGGCATGCAATTTTAGCGAATTGTATTAAAATGACGTAATAGTGAAATGTTGATTTAGCGAATCTCTCTTGTCATTGTTGATTTCTTTGTTTGGCGGCCATTTTGAATTGATAATAAAGTCATTAGCGACATCTTAGATTAGCGAATCAGTTCTCTCGCTAAATTCGCGAAAAAGACATGTTTTACAGTAATACTCTCATTAGCATTGGAGGTTCCATCCCTGATTACAGTATTGATATCAATTACATGTATAACATGGTTAGTCTAAATCTAGCAATCTGATTGGCCGATTCAATTTAGGTCATATATTTCGCCCTGAAAGGCCTGTGATTTATTCCCGAAACTGAATAAATTGGATTAAATATCTAACTGAATCATAATCGCTTGACTGTGTGCACTGTTCATAGTGATTGTGAGTGTATGATGAACTGATCAAAACGGGGAAACCTGGTACAGGTACTAACACAAATTATTATTGCTTAAAATGGTAATATATTGCTGTTTTTGCGAGAAAACATCCCATGAGAAATGTGTGTTTTCATTGTAGCATAGCTTTCAATTGTAACTTGTGACATCATTGTCAGTCTGTCCCTGTGACTCGCCGGGCATGTCACCTGTTTTGTAAATCAACGAAAATGCAAAGAATCACATTGAAAACATTGCTTACGCTTGGTTATTATCTAACACCAAATATGCTAATTACTCCGAGAGGTCTTATATCTGTTACCCAATACACTTGTAATTTATAACCTTGAGATACATTATATGAAGTCATTTTTTTATTTTTATTTTAGCATATCGTTTAGGAGGACGTTATATGTTTTTATGGTTTGCAATTATTGCTCATGGACTGACGGTAGAGAGTGTCAGTTATTTTGTTCCTGATATTGATAATTTCTGGCATGCTCAGAGTATGATTATGTTACTGGGAAAGAGACTACCACTGCATATCATTTTTTTCTGTAAGTATAACTTTCTTTTTTTTATAAACTATTATTTTTAGCTCCGCTGTCGACTTAGTCGAGCGGAGCATATATGATTGTCTGTCGTCTGTATCAACTTTTTACTTTTTCAACTTCTTCTTTAAAATTATGATTGTTATTACTTTGATACTTGGTGTATATGTACCTTGGGCAGACCTCTCTCAGATTTGTTCATTTCGTGATGATATCTTAAATTCTCTAATTTTGATGAATATATTTGTCATTTTTGGTGAAAAGTGATATTTTCGACTTCTTGTTGAAAACCGCAAGTCCAATTGCTTTGATGTTATACATGTAGGTACCTCAGATAGACCTCTTTAAGATTTGTTCATTTTCTAATGATTACTTCAGTTATTTAATTGAAATGTTCATTGCTAACAGCGGAGCTATCTCAGCAGAGAAGCTGCTTGTTTTAATTTCAATAGGTCAGTAAACAACTAAAGACCCACTAGAGATTAAAACACATTATCTAATCAGATTTATGCAAATATCACAGACAATTATAAGTACTTGTTTATGTCGTTTTGCGCCCTCTATTCTGTGCAAGCAAGTATATTAAATTTGAATCAAGTCTTACTAAAGGAACTATTTAAATTTATTGAAAGTATTCCATGAGTACTCCATACCAGGGCACATTTTTATGATGTGCTCTAGTCTGTTTGGTGCAGTTTTAACAACTTTAATGCAACAATATATGGCCAATATGATCCCTATTTTTATTGTATTATATGGATTTTGATCTACAGATGTCACATTAGCTTCTCAGACTTGCTTTTAAAACTGTTAGAAAATAAGGCTCTCATGCACACTCAGCAGTTTCTATTTCAATTGTAAATGGCAATATACTGGGTAAGTTCACACCATATACTTGATATTTGTATTTTTGTGAGTAATATATATGTACAATGTTGTGTCTGTAGATCCAGTATTTTTATACACTGCAGGAGTTGCTGCTGCACGATTAAAGCTACCATTCTGGGCTGAACCATTTGCACATGGTTTAGCTGTTGTAGCTATGGGTATGTCATAACTTTCAAATTAGCATTTTTTTTTCTGTAAACCTGCATCTTCTGTTCAATTTTAAATGTTACATCTTGAGAATGCAGTATTTGTTAACAAGTCTATTCCTAGTCTTCAGGTCCCTTCAATGAACACAAATGATAACCCTTATAATTACATAACTTGTGTATCACCACAGCATCACACACAGCCCGTGCTAAGAAAATGTGCATGAACGCACAGGATAAGAAATGCCAAGTATGAATAAAATCTGGCCCGTTTTTAAGAACCAAAGTCAAACCAATCAGACCAAATCCTCAGACCATACAGGCTAACAAATGTGCATGGCCATTAAGCCAGGGCTAAGTGCCCAAAATGGAAAATTTACTATTATATTTATAACTATTCATTTCGGTATGCCATGTCTGACACAACAATCAATGCGAGCACATCAACAGAAAAAATAAGCTGCTACTTCCAGTTATTCTGCAATCTGCACTTCCTGAATTTTCTTATGTATTGTTTTATAACTGTAGAACTAACATGTACCGTATATAGTCCTACTTACTGTACTGAGTAATCATAGTTAAAATAACCTAGCCCGTGTTAACCAATGGTTCCTCCCATGCATGAATGCAATTGGGTCTAACAAATATGAGATTAGCTTAAATCTTAGTCTGTTCTTCATGTAGCTGGAACACTACTAGTGTGACCTAAGACTGGGCAAATCAAAAATCCATATCACCATAGCATTATGTCACTTACTGCCAAACAATTTTCATTGTACACGCTTCCGGGGTTGTATACGACCTGATAACTATGGTTTATTTTAGCATGAAGCTCATATGTGTATTTTCGGAATTATTATTCAGTCCCTCCAAAAAATCAGTTTCGACTGATCATTAACGACTAGGAATGTTATACAGTTTACAAAAGGTGTTCACGTGAAATAGAACACAGTGGCATCGACAATATTAGCATATGAGGCTCATGCCATGATATATTATGTGTTATTTCAATTCCATTATCTACACTCCAGTGCTTCATATGTCTTACTGTAGAAGTATGCTTGTGATAAATATATAATATCCCACAATATTTTCTCTAGATCTACATATCAGCAGAAATTCATGATTACTGAGTGGCATCAATCCTTGCCTGCGCCTGCAGCGAGAACTCTGGCAGTAATCACTCAAGTCTGCTGATGCCATGCAACCTAAGAGAAAATATCGTGGTATTATATAGAAATATCACAGATTTGTAGTCTTGATTAAAGTGTATGATGTTTTAATATTCCAGACGTTCCCTTTGATATAATGGGTATAAAGTCACTATGGTGGACATGGCATGACACTGATCCTAATATATATGACAGACATTATTGGGTGCCATGGACAAGCTATTTCTTTCATATGTCATTTGCATCAAGTCTGAACATTTTAATAAATGGCTCTAGGAAACTATTGACTGGAAGTAGTAGTAAAATTGAATCTAAGGGGTAAGTATGTATTAGATTCTCCAAGTGGCACCTCCATAGTATGGTCTTGATGACCATATTCTACTGTGTGTGAGTGATGATGTGGGAGTCACAATTAAATGCCAATAATAATGCTACAAAGCAGTTAAAGTTTTTGTCACCTGTTTTGAATTTGTTAATATACTGACCCCATTGTGGTATGATTATTCATACACATGTAAACAGTACCTGGACAGATGGAAAATGAACTTTTGTTACAGCATGCTTGTGACAGTTGTTAATTATTTATTTGCATACTTTTCATTTGCATAGCTTTGTTTGTTTGTTTAATTTCTCCACTGCGCATGATTCTTGTAGCCAATTTGCTTCGTTCTGTTTACATGCACTGTTTACATCGCACGCTGTTCGTGCCCAGTCATTTCTGTTTGGGTTATTTTCATAACTGTGACATGATATATTACCATGCTATTTTGGTACAGTAATATACAAATAGGTTATTTTGACTCAGTGTTTTATGAATCAGCTTGTCTAATTAGTGTAATTTAAACAGAATAGATATTTTGGGTAGAGAGTCGTATTTATTCAGAATGAAGCAGTCAGCAGCACGTTAAGTTTTTTGAGGGGCAAAGGTGACCAATGAGCTGTCAATGATTTATAGTTTGAAAATCACATTGTATAGTCTTGTTTGGGAGAGTTATGGAAGGTGGCACTAAAAATTATACACATCCCTCCAGCAAAATCCCCTTGTATTGGAATAAACAATTATCCAAAAATGTACGTGCATGATCAAAAATCGGTGTTCGTTGTTAGGTATTAAATGATAGTGTACGTTTAAATCAAAACAAACATGTACTGCACATGTGATGCAAACCCAGTGGAAAGCTTGTTGTGATGCGTGGCTAGGTGATTTGATGGCATACCTGAGCATTGGTCATGCAAACAGTACACGTTATTTTGATTTAACATTTGATAGTATTTACCTAGTATTTACTTCCTATGCTAGCAGCTACTATGAGCTCACAACTATTTCTTGTCCCTTGTTATGGCCTAGTAACAAAATACTAAATATTTATTTCAGACCAATAGTCCATATACAATAGAACAAACTAAAGAAAGACATTTCAGAGAATAATACAAAACAATTTGCTACTAGTACAAGTTTGCAAAAGTATTATGATCCATCAGATACAGTGTATTGTTCCTAGCCACTAGTCAGTTTTCTAAGACTCTTAATTGAGGTTCAAATAACACACATGTCATTGGCACAACTTACGTTATTAACCAACCTAGAACCAATAAGGCAGCTACTCTGCATATCATTAAGTTGTACATATCAATCATCAATAAAAATATTAAATATATCCAAGACACATAACTCCACCTTGACTACAACTCCATTAGTTAAACACAAAAACAAACCCTATATAAGTTCAAAAAACAAAGGTTTTTTTTTTTTTTTTGAAGCCTGGAGAGGGCTCTCTTCAAGATGTGAGTTGTTAGTATTTGTATGCAAAGAGATTTGATCTTGGTATGAAGCCTGGAGAGGGCTCTCTTCAAGATGTGAGTTGTTAGTATTTGTATGCAAAGAGATTTGATCTTGGTAATTGAAATTAAACTATTATCAGATGCGGTTATTTGTGTTTATATGCCTGAGCTCAGGTAGGCTGTGGAAAAAAATAATTGTGTTTCTGATATTGCATTACATACCCATATTGTTGGTGACAGATTTTTATTTTGTGCAAATTAGAAGATTTTTATTTATTTTTTAATTGTCTATGTTCATTCTGACCACAAAAATGAATTTGTTCTGTTGCTTTCTTTGATCAAAACATAACTGTTTAGGAGATACTGTAGAATACTTTATTTTCGCTTGGAATTTATTTTCACTATTTTCGCTGAAGGGATGTTTCCATGAAAATAAAATCCAGTGAATATACTTTTTTTTCTATATTTCACATTAAACTCATCAAAAATCAGTGAAAATAAATTCCACACAAAACGCCCAAAGAGCCTTTTCAGCGAAAATTAATTCCAGTGAAAATAAAGTATTCCACAGTAATATAAATAACTAACTGCTAATAGGTAGCCATTCTTAACACATTATCACCTGAAAGCCTCCATGAAAAACTGAGTAGGAAAAACATCAGCAGTTGCATCAAATACATGATTGTGATAGACATAACCTTGATGATCAGTATTTCTTTTCAAAAAAACAAAAAAAACTACTGTAGAATACTTTATTTTTGTTGGAATTAATTTTCGCTGAGGCACAGTCCCTCCACAGGAGGGAGGGAGGGACTGTGGCTGAAGATATGATTCAGTGAAAATAAAATACAGCAAATATACCTTTTTTCCTATATTTTTAATTCAACTTTCAAAATTAAGTGAAAATAAATTCTATACAAAGCATCAAAAATGTCTTTTCAGCAAAAATTTATTCCAGCTAAAATAAAGTACTGTAGAATACTTTATTTTTGCTTGGAATTTATTTTTGCTATTTTCGCTGAAAGGATGATTCTGTGAAAATAAAAATCCAGCGAATATACTTTTTTCCCTATATTTCACATTCAACTCGTCAAAAATCAGTGAAAATAAATTCAATACAAAACACCCAAAATGCCTTTTCAGCAATAACTAATTCCAGTTAAAATAAAGTATTTCACAGTATTTTACAGTACCGGTAATTAAAATAAAAACTAAAACACCATGCAATGCCCTTTGTGATGAGATTATTTACTTATCACCATAAACTTCACATCTATCACTGTTATTTATTTCCTTAGATGTTTTAAGGAAATGATGTGTGTGATAATAACTGGTCTGTTTAGTTTTCCACTTGGAGCACTCCAGTTTGTATTGCTGTACCATCCTCTGCATGATAATCTGCACATCCATACTGAAGTATGCGTGTTTATATTAGTGGCTATCTATATATGTATTGTGTGGAATGCTGATAGGAACCCTGATGATGGTGCCAGACCAAAGAAGGGTAAGCTCTTAAAAAAGATAATCTGATTAAAATAAGATGTTTGTGTGATTTTTACCTTGGTCAAATATTATTTGGGGAACATGAATGTTAATTAATTTGATGAGTTTTTGCCTGTATTTTCTGCGCAAAATGCTTAGATAAATTATTGCATTGTTTCAGGACTTGCTTTCACTTTCATTAAATGTTAAATTGTGTTTGGACTGTACTGTATTTGTATATATTGCAGCTGCTTCCACATTAGACTGGCAAAGTTGTGACTTCTTTTTGTTTTATGCAAAAAAATACAATTGTCAATTTAGTCTTTTTAACATGATCACGAAAACTAGCGTGACTGTAAAAGAAATCCCAACTGGACGCATCTGCAGGCGACCCCCTGCATTGAAGTGGAAACCGGTACAAAATCACTTCTGTGATTATGCTAATTGTTGACTAGCATGGACAACGAATCAGAGTGCAGCTGTATACGCCATATCTTATCTATGTTAATGTATGTGACCTTTCACTTCTGAGGTCCCGGCAAATTTGAAAGATTACTTATATACATTGGACATTTAAATCGACTTGTTTTCAGTAAACATAGATGAAAGTATTGTCTTCACACTTAGAAAGTTAAAGTATCCATCTCTGCAATCGAATCATAACAACCTTTGAAAGGTCATGTTTACTTCCACACACGCACTCATGAATAATCAATGACATCATGAATAATTAATAGCAGTCAAATGCTCGCAGATGTGTCCAGTCAGGATTTCTTTAGTAGTCAGGTTAGTTTTTGCGATCACGCTAAAAGGAGTAAATAAACAATTAATTATTTTTTTTTGTAAAACAAAAAAGAAGTCCCGACTTTGCCAGTCTACTTTCACAACTCTGATGTATATGCAGACAGTGCCATATCTGATCAAAATATCCCACATGATCTATTACTGACAAACGTTTTTTACAATTAATTCATGGTTGCAGAATATACTGCTATGTGTTGTTCCAAAAAAAAAAAAACTATTTAATTTTAGAATTGCCAATTTTGTTGATTTTTGGGAGTGATTAATTCATCAAATAGAACATGTATATTGTTTGAATAATTTGGTATCTAAAGATGATATACTTCAACTTTAACTTTATTGACATTATTCATTTTGAATAGAACATAGTCCAATCTATAACTAAATAACAATTCCTAAACATACATAAACAAAAACATACAATTTTCTCCTAATTGTAATATGTTGTGGGCATTTCATAACATAATGGAATTCATCCTCAATTGAATTTGTGTTGCATCTTGTACAGATCCTGTGTTCAACTTTAACCTTTGGCCTTAAGTGCCTGCATTTCTCAATCATTAAGGGATGGTCACTTATTCTTAGTTTGCATATTCTTTTTCTTATTCCACCATCCTTAACATTATTTATATACTCCTCCATTTTAAATTCTGTTTTGAATAATTTATATGTTCCTAGTTTATGCTAAAATATAGTGATTGCTTTTGATTTTTTTCTTTTGTAACTGTAAAAAATATTAATACTTTAAAGGTACTTTGTGCATTTTATAAATGTTTAGATTTGATGGCTTCATAAAAATGAAAAATTAATGAAAGGTAAATTAGACTGCATTAAATGGTATATGATATTTTGAAATTAATCAGTACGTCTAATTATTAGCTGTCATGTACTGATCTTGGAGTGTTTTTACAGAATTCAATGTTGTTAGTGTCAGAGGTGTGTCGCGCTTTATAATGGTTATAATCCATAAAACAGTTCCAAATATAAAATTGCAGAAACATTTTCGATCAAAAACTAGAAGCACTGTCACATGTGTCTGTTTGGTTCAAAATTAGGTTGAATTCAGTAAAAATTAAAGAAAAATGTGAACAAATTCACTTAAATGTAAACGATAAAAAAAATTGGTGCTCATAATTTGAAGATCTAATATATACTTTATATCATCACACTTAGAGGTTTTTATGACATCATAGCTTTACATTATCACATGATAATGTAAATCCATGATGGCAAAAAACCTCTAATTCTCACATGATAATGTAAAGCTATGATGGCATAAAAACTTCTAATTATCACATGATAATGTAAAGCTAGGATGGCATAAAACCCTCTAATTCTCACATGATA